ATACATAGAAAAGGAATGAGTGGAAGATTTACTTTCCAGGCCATTTTTCTTTCCTCAGTCATCCTGGGATTTTTACTAATGCTGACTGGAGAGAAGTAGACCCATGAGATGGTCCCTTTTCTATTGCTTGTAGGCGAATGCAGCACAGAGTACCTGCCTCTGAAGCACTGCAGGTTACAGCTGCTCTAGGAAGCAGCAGTTCCACGCTGGGGTCAGCAGGGACCACATCATGGGCGCAGGGTTTCTTGCCACATGCTTGGCTTTGCGGAGATCATCATAATGTGGTAATCCGTGGCACAGTAAATGTAATTTTGATATCTTCTAAGTTTCTGGCTAGGTAAATTGTATTTCAGTTCCTCACTGAATACTGAAGGTATCTAATCTTGTAACAGATGGCAAGCATAGTCAAACTGAAGGTTTTGTTTAAATTTGAGTAGATGCTGAGGGGAAACTTTCACCTGTTCTCCTAGCTACAGTCAGCGTTGACTGAAAGAGAATGGAAACTTTACATGACTCATCATATGGATGTATTTCTAAATCATCTGTATTTTTTTCCACTTTACTTTAAACCCAGGTCTTATAAATCTGTGTTTAAAGAAATTACTCCCTTTTAATTAAAAGATATATCTAATCTTTCCTATTCACTAAAGATTCATCAAATCTTTACCATTTCACTGATTTTGAGGATTGTGTAAAATGGTTGTTTTCATTGACACCACTCCTTGAAATGACTACAGGGTTTTTTGGCATATATATTTTCTCCTGTTGTTAATCAAAATGTGGTGGGCTGTGGAAATGACTGAAAGCTACAGAAATGAACAACAACAAACTCTCATTTTGAACTCTCCCCATTATGTATTCTTAAAGAGAAATCTTATGTGCACGATGACCAGTTTCTACTACCACAAAAGAAATACTTCAGAAGTAGTGAAATATGGCCCAGGCATTGGATCTATCTTTGGGTCTCATAGAAAGGTATTTGATTACTGCCAAAAAATTAATTTGAAATAGAAAAAAATTAAGACTAAGTAGAATAATTTGTTGCCATACCAATATGGTTGTGATGGTGTGTGAAACAATTACATTTTATGTATTAATTAGGAGAAGGAGGGAGGGAAGAAGTGGAAAAGAAGGATAACATCATTAATCTTTTTTCCTTTTGGAAAACCCAGAAAAGAAGATAAAGTGGGACTGCTGCAAAAAGCCTGGCTCCAACTTCTTGATAACTGGTGCTTAGAATCGTAGAATCATTAAGGTTGGAAAAGACCTTTAAGATCATTATTGGTGCTGCAAGGCTACTATTAAGTCCCCCAAAGCCTCCTCTTCTCCAGGCCACTTCCCTCAGCCTCTCATTTTCTCTCTTCTATCAGTAGAATTCATATATTGGACTAATGCTAAAAAAGACAAATCTTCATTTTCCTTTAGAATTAGTGTTAGGATACAAATATCTCAACTGCTTGGAGTCCACTGATTTTAGCAAATGCAGGTCTGACTCTGAAATAACTTCATGGAGACTTAACGAGCTAGAGTGAAAACTGAGGGCCAGATGATAGTCCATCTATCATCCAGCAATTCCTGTGTAGCACCAATTTTCTTTCCTTCCTCACCTATCTACATGGCATCATTCATTCTCTTTTGGGATTACATGCTGATTCTTTTACAGTTTATATTGGGTGATAGAAGAAAATATTAATTGATTCTGTACAGTGGTAATAATAATATAAGATGTAGTTGTTTTGTTCTTTCCCAGATGCGAATAGCTCATCAGGTCTTCACCCATTAAGAGGAACCTGGGGAAAGCCAAACCAGGAAAGGAGGCCCTTGCTGTGCTAGGTTATAATTTGTATAACTTTCCTCACAGCCACATGAAATGGAAATGCCACCTTTATCTTTTGTTAGAGATAGTTCTTCATAATAGCAGAAGATACAGGTGGTTTCCAAGACCCAAGTGAGTGGAGTACTCAGGAACTTAAAGCTGGTCCCACTGTGAGCAGCAGGTTGGACTAGAGACCTCCTGCGGTTCTCTCCAGCCTGAATTATCCTATGATTATATGATGTTTATTCTCCTGAATCAAAAATAACATTTTTGTGCATATGTGTATTGCAGTTATGTATTTTTTTTTATTGTATTTACCAATCATATTTAACTTATAAAACATAAAAAAATTCCATTAAAGCATTGTGGCTTCTCCAATTCCATCACCTGCTTTTTTCCTGTGGCTTCACGGGAGAATTTGACTGGAGAGAAAAAAAAAAAAGCAGTAATACTTCCTGTTTTCTACATAGACTTTTTTAAAAAACTGTGTTGGAATTGGCCATATCTCAGTCTTTCTTTTTTGGTCATTATGTAATAATACATATGAGAAAGCGCATGTGAGAGAATCTTTTATAATTTCATTCTCATTCAAATAACTTTTCTCATTTTGCTTCAAGTTATCGTCATTATGAATGAAAAAATCAAACCACAACTCTTCTATAGACACATACATTTTGGTTTCTGTCGTGAGTAGTTGGTGAGCAGTCAGCTGTATTTCTTGAAGAGTGCTTGGTTTGTTTTTTACATTTGTGAGATGTCTTTTAGGCGTTATGATTGTGATATTTTTAATGTACTGATGTTTTACAGACTGAGTTTTGGGGTGATCTATTTCACACATTCATGATGTTATTCTTTTGCTTCAAATAAAAAGTTACTGATGATCAGTTTCTTCAGATACATTTTTAAGACAAAAATTATTTCTGATCATCAACTTTGCCTGTTTCGCCGAGGAATTTAACACAGTCTGTGCCATTGATGTCAGAAAGAATAGGATTAAGGAGCAGGATTTAATTTACTTAGCTGTAACAGAAGAAGTCAGAAATAGCTTTAGCAGTTAAATTACTTGTGGCAGAATTGTTTGTTTATGTCCCTAATATTCCTGTGGTATATTTTTGAATGATAGATCATTTAAGCTGACTCGCACATCTGAAAGATTAACATTTTACCAATATTCATTTACCTTATTCGATATTCTTGTTAGTGTAAGAGACAGTTTAACTGAAAAATGAATGCTAATAAAATGCCTTTTTAGTAATTCATTTCGAAAACCATTTGACCTTAACTACAACGAAAGTAGACTGTAAAAATCATCATAGATTCCCTTCCTTGAACTTTTCACAATGCTGAAAAATGACTGAGGGAAAGAAGCAAGATCTAGTTACTGTACCCTGTTTGTACAGCTGTACTTCATTGAGTGGAGGCTTGTGTTACACACAGTTTGTGATAGGAAGTAAATGCTTTTAAAACAACTAAGGAGACAGGTCTTTAACCTCCACCTTTTCAGATGCTTTGTTCACTCATTTAGCTTCTGTCGAGGTCTTGGGAAACATTTCAAATACAAATTATTATTGAGTACTGAAGCTCATCTGAATAATTCATCTCCTAGTGAGCTCATTAGGCGGAGATGCATTAAGACGTTTTGTTTTTTTTTTTTGAGAGAGAGATCACCAATTCTTGATATAGTGAACACTTGTTCCTTCAGGAACAAATGTGTTAAGTGTCTCAGGATAGTTGAAATGACAGGTTTAATTCAGCGATTGTAAGGATTTTCAAGGACTTAGAGGACATAAAAAAATGATGTTGTCATGTAAATTACCAAACTGTCAAAATTCATTAGATTTAAAATTCTCAGTTTCTAGCATACAAGACACCTTCTGTTACAAGACTATCTAGTCCCCTGAAATGGTGACGACACCTTGAGATTCATTAAGATGATTTTTTGGTGTTACTTTGCATTGCAAGTACGTGTTAATCACCAGACCTAAACTATTTGATATAAGCTTGTCACCAGATAATTTCAGGACTTTAAATACACATCATAAGATCGTTCTGTGAATGCGATTCTAATATTTACCAAAGGCACTTCTCTAATTGCTCTGGTGAAATAAGGCAGTGGCAATGGGAGTGTGCAGCTGGCAGACAGCCAGATAACTTTTAATTTCTGTAATCAGCTGAGGCTTTGTGTATACTTCATCCCTTGAAATACATGTGACCTTAAATTTAGGCTTATGATAAACAGGCATTATTTGGGCTGCACTAACCACCCACTTTCTCATTTTGCTATAATTAAGGTCATCCTCATAGCTGTACATCTGATGGCCATGAACATTTCTATCTTAAGCTCCCACTTAAGACTGTCCAGATATCAATATACAATGCAGAGGGGCCACACAGATCTGCACTTAATGAGAAAACGCCTTGAAAGGATTCAAGATTTTGAAGTCGTCTTCACTGCAGGGCATTAGAGGTGTCATGCCTTCAGAGGACATGGCTGACACTGGTTTTGCCCTTATTCCAGCAACTTTTTTGAACTGTAACACCATAGAGACACTGCTCTCCTTTGGCTGGGTCCAGAGTTCCCAGCAAGCAACCATTTGTTTTTCCATTTGTCACTAGTGGGCAGGCAATGGCTGTGTTTTGTGGTCTGTGGTACAAATGGGCTTGAAGATTTACATGTTTCAGAAAACTGTAAGCATAACAGCAGACACCAGTTAAGTTGTTTAAATTTGAAGCGTAAGATTTTGGGAACATTTTGTATCCCCTTCTAGTCTTGAAATATAGCTTCAGTAAACAAATGCAGGCCTGAAAGCATCCTGAGTCCTTGTCCCTCTGAATCCCGTAAGAGAGCTCCTACTGACTCATCAGGACGTAGCTCAGGCTTTCTAGCTGTTTAACGCTCATCTCTCACATCCTTCTACTCTTCCAGCAATGATTTTAGTTCCTGTCACAGCCTCGCCTTCCTCAGTATCAAAGTCACATTGACTTGTGTCCACTTGCTAACATTTAGCCCAGTCTACCCAAACTCAGCTCTGAACATTAGGTTTTATTACCTGCTATACTATGGTAAAATAGCAAAGTGTAAATTGGGGGATTAGTTGCTTTTACCTTAAGGAAAAAGGCCTTGGGAAACAAATGTTGCTTTGTTCTCTAGTACATACCTCATTAGAAATTATGTGTTTTGCAGAGGTTAATATACTGTGGGCAGCGCACCAAGTACATCATAGTTCTGAAGATTACAACTTATTCACAGCCTTGAGACAATCTGTACTGCAGAAATACACCTCCTGGGTAAGTTGCACAAGATTTGACAAATTCATATCAGCAAGATTTAGCGAAAGTGAAAACATAGTGTTTATTTCCCTTTGAAGAAAAACATATAAATTATTTAAGATGTTTGACACTGAAAGCACAGAAGTTGAAACTGAAGAATCTGAGAGTCATAAGCTTTAAAAACACATTCATTAATGTTTTTACAGCAAACTGAGAAGAGATACAGTAGTTAAGTTTAAGAAGGTTAATTATAACCCTGCATTTATATTTTCATAACTTTTTGAGTAAAATGGGACAAATTTTTTCATTCTGTTATTCATGCATAAGTACAGGAAAAGATCAGAGTATCACGTAACTACTCTAGAATATGTCTGTATAACTGAAAGGAGCAGGGAAAGAAATCATTACTGAAGATTGCTTTGGACATGTAAATGTATTTATTTTCTCTGCTCATTCATGTCATGTGTCGGTCAGTACACCACTGCTTTTACCTAGCGTTATCTCAGATACATTTTTTTTTAAATGATGAGGTATGTACACACGCAATACAAATTAAGACGAGTACTCATTTACAGATTTAAAAATGTATATTTCCAAATACATTCATAAATGTAACATACTATTCAGTGTTTAGTTTTGGGCCCAGGATAACTGCTGATTTCCTCAGTTGCACTCATGTTCTCTTTTGACTTTATTTTTTAACTCAGATTGTAGTTTGGTTGGTTGGTTGTTCTTTGTTTTTTAAAAAAGAATAATGACTTCAAAATTTGAATTTTCAGAATCAGAGTTCAAAAAGTATTTTTGTATATATAAAACATACAAATGCTCTTCTCCAATGAGGTATAATACTGGTGGTGGAGGAAGCCCACAGTCCTCTGGCAATCCCTACAACTAGCCTATGAACAAATGACACAAAGCCAAGAGTGTGTGCTCACACATGCAAATCCAGTGTAACTCCATTAACCTCAGTAAAGTTAGTCTGGATTTATGCTCACATAACTGAGCATAACTGTTCATAACTCTTTCAAGCCCATGACATTAGATGAGTTAAAGTGCTAGGTTCCAAAAAAATGACTAGTTCTTCTGGAAATTGTGAAACAGATACTATTCATTTTGTTTCTTAAAGTCTTCTCTGTAAATTGTTATTTTTTTATGCAGAAGATAGTCATCTAATCTAGTAGGAATGCCTCAAATTTAAATGGCCATAATGAACAATAGCGGAAGGGATGCATCTCTGTCACAACTCTGCTTCCTATGTAAATACTGCCATGTTAAAGATTTAACCTTTGCACATTTACCCATTGGGACCATATGTGCAAATGCTTAACAAAAACAATAATTCAAAAAAGACAAAAAGCCTGTGTGTGCATATGGGTGTGTGCATGAGCACTTTGTCTGCCTTCGTGGTTTTGAGGATGATACCTCAGAGAGAATAAAATATTCAGGAAGGCCAAGATGTCTGGCCACCTTAGATTCTGAAGACCATCCTCAGGACCACACCGGTATCACTTGACAAATAATGTATGTACATTTAAAATTCATTTGCTTTGAGCAGAAGGAAGGCAACATAGGAATCTATAATAGTTTCGTGTGCAGTGTTTTTCCACCCAAAATTTGGTATTAGCCAAGACATTTGATTAATGTAAATATTGGTTTACCTCCCCCTATAACTTTTGAGAGGTGTGCCAGTTTACTTTCTCCAAAGCCTTACTGTGCATGAACACAATTCTTGCTAATTTCTATAGCACTGCTGGTTTTTTGGACTGCCAGACTTGTCCAGAACCCCATGGATGCATCTACCTCGAAGCTGAAACTCCGTGAAGCCTTTAGTTACTCTCTGAGAGTGATCTGCTGTTGCTGAATGTGTACTGTTGAAAGCAGTTTGACGTGCAGTTTTGTGGAGGCTGTGAGAAAGTCGTGTTGGATGATGTGGGATTGTGGGACTGTTCTGCTGCCAGCTCTGTATGTGTTTTAAGTTAAATGTTATAAGATAAATAAATCAGCATATTAATCTGTGTAGGTTTTGCTTGACCTGATTGAAAAGATGTGAAATGAAAGAGAAGAGAAAAACATGCTTGAAGTACAATCAGTGGTGTGAGATGTACTCCTGAACTTGGAACCAAATGTGTATTGCTTCACATCTTTTGTACACACAGTGTTTCTGTTACTCCAGTGGAGGGGCCATAATGAAGCAGACCTACTGTTAAGACTGAGAGATGGTTTTGAAGCCCATTTTGCAGGAAAAAGATGTGGAAAAAAATGTATATTCATTTTTAAGACGAAATCAGCAAGCTAACGCTACATAAATCTTTGCTTCTGATGAAACACTTAGTTAAAGTGTAATTGTGAAAGGAGAAAGTAACATATACACCTTGAAAAGCTAAGATTTAATTCTATGAGTACTAGTTCTTAACTTTCCTCCAAGGGTAAGATTTGATTGCAAATAATAGATCCATAATAATGTGATAGCTTACCAGTTCTTAACTTTCCTCCAAGGGTAAGATTTGATTACAAATAATAGATCCATAATAACGTGATAGCTTTAGACTATACGTTTAGATAAAGGGTTGAATTATGTGTTGTTGGTTTAAAAGCAGTGGAAACATCTGTATATAAATCTGCAAAGGAAATAGGTAACACTGTTCAGCACAGAGTCACAAAGTTCACTTCTTATCTACTGAGGAGTCTGCTAGGTTTGAGATCTATAAGGGATGGGGTTTTTTTTATCCTTACCTTTAAGTCCTATAGAATCCTCACAGAAGTATAGCCCAGGTGAACTAGCTGTTGGCAGCTGCCCTGTGGCCCCGTTGTGCCCCACCAGTGAGAGCTGCCCACATCGGCAGGTGGCCCTGGAGACTCAGTGTGGAAACAGAAGGGCTCAGTGCAGGAAACTCAGCCCTCCTGCTAAACCTCAGGAGTTTCAACATTTTCCCTTTCTGTAGTGGAAGCATTTATAAGCTTTTGCTTACAAATGAGAGGGAGAAAGGTAGACCATGCAGCAGCCACACACCCTTCAAAAGGGGTAATGCCCTAAGTGTGAAGGCACACAGCTGCAGTGCAGCTGCCCCAGATAGCAATCCCTCTCCACCCCCTCAATGAGTGCCTTTCCCATCAGGTTATCAGTTATCGTGGCTCTCTCTCAATCTCTGTTGCTGAATCCACAAGTGGGAAAAGATCTGCAAGCGTGATAAGTGTTTTTCCGAAGTTTTGACCAGAAATTCTATCTTAGAGCCATGAAAGATTTTCCTCTACAGATTAGTGAAAGGTGGTACATTCCCATGAAATTTTTTCATTTGCTGAATTAGCATTTCCAGTGAAAAACTATTTAATGATTTTTTTTTTTTTCCCCTGACATTGGTCTTGTTGTTCCAGTAGAACCACAGATAGGACAAACCAAATCTTTTGTGTGGGAGATGTTTTCATTCCTCCCTATGAGTTCTACTTTTGTAAATGATCTTTGAAATCCTTTCTGTGCAAAATAAAGCTTACACCTTAAGGAAACATGAGGAAGCTAGGAAAGCATTCTCCTCTGTTAATCTCAAATTTATCTGTAGATTTATATAAAATTTCCCTTATCTCACCGCTAGCGGGGACATCCTAGTACTCATTGTGAGAAGTAGGTTAGAAAATAAATATGAAGATGATTCTTCATTCCACTCTGAGTCATCTGTGAATACCACCAAATTGCATCTGATACTTTTAGGGAAAATGCATATCATTTTTAACCCTGCTTTAAATCCTGCAACGACTTCCATGAATAATCTGAAAACCATCTGTATTTTTTTTTAAATCAACTTCCTCTCCATTCCTTTTAAAAAATTTCCTGCTCTTATCATGCCATTAGACAGGTACAATCAATAACAAGAGAAAACTGCAGTAGCTTTACTTAAATCTGGTCATGTGTCCTACTCCGTTGTTGGCTTCTTTGTAAGATAACCTTTGCGAAAAACCATGTCAGCCTTCTGGCGGTTATGGGACAAATATCTCTCAGTCTCTTTTTTTTTTTTTTTGTAGCTCCCCTACTTTTAATAATTAAATACTAAGGGGATCCAGCTTAGAGGAATGAGGAAAAAGGAACTCAGAAAAGAGATTGACTCCATGCTAATGTTTAGGGCATTTCTTCTAAAGTGTGGGAAGCTTGTACTACATTTCTGTTTCAGCATGGAGAACTGCACGTTTGAAAGTTGCTCTTCTGTTTAGTAGTCTTCTGCACAAGGCAGCGTAATCTGCATTTTCAACTCTTAAACAATGCTCATGCCCACCTCTACTCCAGAATTTCATGCCTAAAAGCCACATCCCCCCATGGCATTTACTAGCTTCTGCCTTAGCTTAGGTAAGAGTTGCTACCAATTTTTGTGAGTTTACTTAGGCTGAGTGATTCTTAGGGATTCAATGCACAAATTTCACCTTCTAAATACATTTTTCTTTCTTTTTTTGTTTTATAAATGTTACACAAACACTTCAGCCTTTGAGAATCAGACTGATTAAAACAAAATATCTGTTTACATTCTTTTCCCTAAGTTCCGGAAGCTCAGCATAGTTCTTCTACCACCTTTGAATTCCTTCACTTCTTGAAAAGAAGACCATTCAACCAGAAATGCCTCATATGTAGTTTGTGAGGCAGCTGTGATCCATGAAGCCTTTGAATGTAGCTTTTGAAATCACAGCTGTGCCAGTCCTACCAGGTGATTCTGAAACTGCGGTGACTTCAGGGTTTCTTTCTTGTGCTTCAGTCGTTGTGTGGTGTTGAAGCCAACAGACCGAGCTGGGATTGCAGGGCCTTAGTCCTCCATTGGCTCATGACAGTGAGATATGGCTGTGATGACTTTCTTGAGAGCATCAGTCACATCATGGGGATTGAAGTTCATTTGTTTCACAGCCCCAGTGGGACATCTCACCTATTGGGTAGGCCTTTTGACAAAAACTGAGGGAACATCATCATTAAATGCTATGTGCAGACCTACACTAAAGGATTCTGGCTCAGGAGGCCTATCATGGCTATCAGATTGCTTTCTCTGATGTTCGAATATTTGATTTTTGTGAGGAAAATAGGAATTTGAAAACACAGTTTGCTAATTTTGCTGTGTTTCACAGGGAGCTCTTATCTGCTGCCCAGATTTTCCCTGAGTGCTAAAGAGACTTAAAGTTTTGAAGATACCTCCCCTACTGTTTGGTTTAGAAAAAATCCCTGTGTTTTAGGGAAGGATTAACTTATTAATGCATCTGGTATAACACAATGTCAGGTAGAAGGGAAAGAAAAGATAAGCCTTTTTCTGAAGAAAGCAGACTGACTTTTAGCATGTGAAGGTCTTGGAGTCTTACTCTATTGCTCAGCCAGTTAAGCAATTAATTGTGAAATTCCTGGGACTTTACTCTCTGTGTAAGTTACCAGTGTCTTTCCTAAGTAAGCAGTTTTCTGAAACTATTCTCATGCTAGCACATCTTTAGAACTCAGCAACGTGTCGGGGCTTTGAGGGAGATGCCGTGTGGAAGTTAGGGTGTGAATTTGTAATTAACTCTGAAAGCCAAGTAAGCTGCCTTGCCCTTATGGTGCTCACGTAGGGCGTTTGGATAGAAAAGCTATAGTGTTATAAATTCACACTTGCTTACTCTGTGATAATTCTCCCCTATAAGTGAACCCTTCATGTCAAGGAGATGTTGCTGTCTGCTCTGTGTAGTACACAGAATAAATATCTAATCTCAGGATTTCTGAGTTCTTTTCTTGTTTTTTCTACTTGCTCACATTATGACTTTTGACGAATAACTTTGCAGCAATTTATGTCTCATTTGCTATAGCAAATCTAGTAGTAACATAATAATCAGTATCTATTCTACATAATGTCTGCATTATGGAGGTATTAGAAGAAGCAGTTATCTTGCGCAGTGCTTTGAGCTCTTGAGATGGTACTTTGTTATACCATCACAAGTTTAGAATGATATATCTAACGTATATTTTTTTCTCATTTTTCAGATTTTAAACTTGCCCATGGCTCTTTTCATCCCCCCTTCAGTGTTTGCTGTTCATCTGCAGTTTAATCTACTTTACCAGTTTTGGATACATACAGAGGTAAACGAGGTTTTTAAGCCATACCTAAACAGTTAGCCTGGAGCAGTGTCCTGGAAATCCGCTAGCAGCTGATTTATTGTGTAAGAAAAAGCTTTGTCTGACTTCTCTAAGGAGAAACATCTGTTCATTTTTATTCCTTTTTCTGAATATATATTGCTAAGTTTATAAGAAGCAATGAGGCCAGTTGGTCCCAATTAGATTAAAAAAAAAAAGTAACTGTAAGGAATCAAAACTTTTTGCTATTTTAATACTATATTTTCCTATCTTGCAGCTTATTAAACATTTCTGGCAGATACTGAAACTGATTTCATTTCTAAGATAAATATTTTAGGGAAAAATATCCAAAACCCAGTGCTTCTTAAAGATTGTTTAGAGTTGCAACTAAAGTCAGATATTGCTTCCTTCTTAATGCAAGTAATTCTCAGATGAAAAATGCTCTTTGATTATCTGATGACTATTTGTTTATGACTGCACCTACTTATTTGCGTTTTGTAAGTGCATAGACCATATCTAGTTTACATACATATACAGTTAATATCCCACTGTAATTAGTAAGTAGTTTCGCACCCTTCTCTGGTAGTTGAACGACCCTCTGCCTTCTCCCTTGCACTACAGTAAAGGTGTTTAAAGTATCCCATGTTATATGTCAGTAGCATATTTCTCAGTAGCTCCTAGTGGGCTGCAGGCTAATTGTCTCTACAACACTTACTCCTTTGATTATCCTGACTATACAGATGCCTTTTTCCCTCTGTAGTTTCATTATGTGATCTATAGGATTCTTTTGGAAGACAATTTTATTTTCTTTATCTGCTATTTTAGGTGATTGTGTTGCTTAAATTACAGTTTTTATTTTCTCTTTTCTGTGTGTTTCCTAAAAAAAAAAAAATTAAAAAAAAAAAAGGAAAAGAAGCTACTTACAGTGACCTAATAGCAAACTTATGTTGTTGAAATTTCACTTCTGTTGGGCACATTTCTAAAACTGTTAATACATGTCTGTTGCTCTGCAACACCATGTGAATAGGAAGGGCTTACAATAAAATGTCACACATATCACCAGAACTGGCATAAACTCAAGCAATACACAATTAAGCTTGTCAAAATGTTTCGAACAAATTTGAACACGTTGAAATTATACCAAATTAATATCCTGAATCACATGGTAGCAAAGTTTCTTTGACCATGCCTTAGGTTCCCCAAACTGGTTTTACTGTGTTTTATCACTAAGAAAAAGGTAATATGCCTCATTTACCTCTTCTCTGCTGTCTGGAGCCATTTGTTCCTTGCCTGAGATGTTTCTAATGTTCTGCTGCGTAGCAGTAACCCAATGAGTCTCAGCACTGGTGCCACAGTGTGCATCTAAAGTGAATTTCAGAGGCTTATGAATTGCCTTCATCCCTCTGAAGTGCTAAATCCTTCATAGGGCTTAAAAGGAATTTCCATAGCGTATGTGCCTTGTGCCAAGTTTAGACACTAGTCTAAACAGGAATGAATTTCAGTCTCAATGAAAAGATAAGCATTCCATACTATTAAATTGTTGTGCCAGTAGAAAAACAATGGATCTTTTGTACTGATCCAGTTGATTCAATCATAGATCTTTGTTTACAAGGGAAGATATTCTTAATGTTGATATTGTTGATTTTGTAGCACAGCTGAAATCAGCTGAAATATGTTGAAGTCATACTTTAAGGTCAAAAATGATGTCAAAATAGAAATAAGTTTACATCACGTATTAGCAGATTTCCTACTCTCAAGGGCAAGGGTGTAACAGACAAGAGAAGGGAAAGAAAGGATAATAGTAGCAGCTATTGCAGCAACGCAGGTTTATATTAGCCAATATTTTTGGTGAAATTAATACGATGCTTCACTATTATACCGGGGTTTTTTTTTGCAACAACTGTTACAATTTAACTGCTTAAAGTTGTGGCATTCCCAATTTTTTTAACAGTCCTTTTCCTGAATTTTAACAGTTCTATCTTACACAGATTATAGTAAAATGAAAATCTTTTCTGTAAGTCTCAGTTTCCAGCAGTTTCCCAACATATGAGATTTGTTTGGGGCTGCAGGTCTGGGGTTATATAGAAAACAGCATCCTGTCTCAGTGACTGCTGCTAGCCCTTGGTCTGAGAGCTGAGATTCATCAGCCCCTGGCAGCTCTGGTGTCCTCTGGGAGCCCATGGTGGGTGCTGTTACAGTATGTGTCATTAGGGGTCTAGTGGAGATATGATTCATTATTTCTGTTCTGCCAGTGCAAGACGTAATTGTTTGCTTCTAAAATGCAGAAAAATTTGATAAGAAATGTTAAGTTTGTCCTCACATTTCTGTTGCTTTTGATCAGTATCGGTGTTTCCTTAGGCAAGATTTGGCCCCATATTGACTAGTCAAGTATGTTTGGAAATCGTAACTTCACAACTTTTGATTACACGTCCTTCTCCTTCAGAAAAAGAAAATCTAGTAAGATACAGTAAAAAATTCTCTTTAATAGGTGATATTTTTTTCATAGCACTGAAAAGCTTAATAAATGATATGCATAATTTATTGTTTTATAAAAGGAAAAAAATATATTTAAGTACTAGGAAAGAAGGAAAGTATATGGAAGTTTCTGAGGGAAGATGTTTTCTTTTAAGAGTAATTTAAATTGAATTCAGTAATTACAAGAGAAGGATCGTGCTATGCTAAAACTTTCTATGCCATGTTTCAGCCTAGAGCAAAAGTTTATAGCGAAAGTATGATCCCTGATATTTTCCTATACTTTAATTTAGAATGTGTCCAGTGCTGTTTCAAACAATGCTAAGAGAAGTTTCCTGTGCTATAACTTTGACCTTCTTCAGTATTTGTTAAGTCAGTTTTTGTTCAGCGTTCCTTCCAGCAGATCAGACATGGTCTATTTTATTTTAACTCAAGTGGCTCGTATATTCCTGTGAAGACAGTACACCAAATCATAACGATCAAAAGTACCCGCTCATTCTATCTCAGACTTCTTTATTTCCTGCATACTTGGTATGCATTAGCTTTTGGCCTTTTCTATAAAGTAGTACAGCATTTTAAACATCATAAATCTTATATAAAGATTATACTATACCATTCTTTTAGTAACAAAAAAAGATCTCTAGCACCAAAATCAGAAGGGGCTATTGATACGAGAAGGGCATTTCTGTAATTAATAAAGAAAGGCTGAGTGCGCTAAAGTGAAAACACAACTTTGACTTAAGTTATTAATTTGCATTTAACTATATTCTCCCATTAAAAGAACTTTGCTGTCTGAAGTCCACATTTTTTTTCACTGCTTCAGTGCATTATTGCACTGTGTACATGGCAATCTGAAATGATATAAAAAATTTTCCAAAGATTTTTTAAAAATCTCTTGAGCAGCACCAAGGTATTAAAATAAACTCATAATAGTTTATTTAAACTAAAAATGAAAATAAAAACCAAACCCAACCCAAAAATAACTGAGAAACACACTTTTCTGTAATGGTGCCTAAACATAGGATCTCAATAAATCAAAAGAAAACAGGTTTTGGTGCTATCCAATACTATTTAGGTCAACAGAATAACTCAGTCAGTAGATCTGCTCTTAAATGGTCTGGGGGAAATGTTTCTATGACTAGACCATTCTCATCTAGATCATAAGGAGAGTAAGAAAAAAATACATTGGTCAAAGAGCACTAAAAATCTAATTTTTCAAAAGCCACAAAATGTTTCAGGACTGTTACTGACAGACAGAAATACTCCATTTCAGTTTATTTTCACAGGTGATTCGGAAGGTCTATGGCTCATATTAAACTATATCCTTCCGTTATGCATTTATTACAACCAATAAGTTAGGTGTGTTTATAACCTGATAGACACCTGTGAAAAACAGAAATTAGTTTCTGTTGGTTTAGCTGTAATTTTTATGAGATGTCAAATTGTATTTGGAAAGTATCAACTGAATCAATCCCTGTTGGTAGTAATTGCAGCAGCAGATTATTCCTTGCCTGTTTGATCTTTGACATGCATTCATTTCTGCTTAATTTTCTAATTTAAGGAAAGACTGTAATCTGCCCTTTACCATACTCACAGAAGTCAGGTTTCTTAAGGCAGCTCTTCTCTTGTTTAAGTCTTCCTACCTCATCAAATTCTGGGAGCAGAAAAAGGTGAGCCACTACTGTTAACCAGGAGTACCATGGGTGAAAACATGCAAGGAATGGGAAAAATTTTGGCAACATCTCATGCAGGCTGGAAAGAGAGATGTGAAATTGCTACAGATATAGGCCAAAATACATTTGTTTTTGTCAGAAAACACCAATTCAGTAAAACCGAAACTTGTTGTGGAAGTATAGTGTATTTGTAAAAAAATACTTTGCACTCGTGCAGTGTGTACTGAGCTAAGTTTCTGCCTATGACTTTCTTTAGCTTTGACTTATGCTCAGGTTTTTTTAATGAAAAACATTGAAAGAGAGAGAAATTGTGGAGGCTTCACGCTTTCAGGAAAAGGAATTCTGTTCCTGGCCGGAAGGCATGCACAGCCTGTCAGGGCTCCCTGAGTACAGGTGAGCTCTTGTGGCCTAATCTTGAAGTCCTTACATCAATCAGCTCTTACCTAGGAAGATGGCCAGCTTCGGAAAAAATCTTCTATGTTTTGTTTTGTTTTGTTTTGTTTTGTTTTTCCTTTTATAAGCATAGGGTCAATAAGGAAATTAAACAAGCAGATTAAAGAAACAAGTAAAATTAAGTAAAATACATAAAAATGTACATATTTCTTTTAAGTAGCAGTACACCTGTCATTACTGTCTCAATAGCAAAAGCTATTCTTGAAACTCTAGACGACATATGGGTCTTTTTAAGCAGAAACTATTTGAGACAAAAGTCTATTGGATGGCAGTTAAAAGAATCATAAAATCATTAGGACAATGTGATAAACAAGTAACAGCATGAGACAATAGATAAAATATTCAGTTATTTATTCTCGGGCCCTAACAATTGAGATTGGTCCACTATTTCTTTGCAAATTTCATTTT